TTCTTCTGTAAGAGGCTCCTCTGTCCTCCACTCGTTACCTTCATTAATGGCACCTGTTGCATTTTTGCCACGCAAATTTGTTTTTTAGTCTAGTAAATTTTCTACCCTTTCCTTCTAGATTTGCATGTTTATAATCTCGTAAACTCACGTTTTTTTTTTTTCCCGTACATTTAATACTCGTTTCCTTCTAAATTTGCATTTGTAATGTTTGTAATCTCCTAAATATGCATTTTGTTCTTGCAAATTTGTATTTCAGTCTGGTAAATTTTCTACCTTTTCCTTCTAAATTTGCTTATTTATATTTTTGTAAACTTGCATGTTTTTTCTTTTAAACTACCCTTTCCTTCTAGATTTGCATGTTTATAATCTCGTAAACTCACGTTTTTTGTTTTGTTTTTGTTTTTTATTTCATACATTTAATACTCGTTTCCTTCTAAATTAGCATTTGTAATGTTTGCAATCTCCTAAATATGCATTTTATTCTTGCTAATTTGTATTTCAGTCTGGTAAATTTTCTACCTTTTCCTTCTAAATTTGCTTATTTATATTTTCATAAACTTGCATGTTTTTTCTTTTAAATTTGTTTCCAGAGCTGTAATTCTGTTGATCTCCGTTTTGGAAAGCTGAAGGGTCTCCAAAGTTCAACAAAGCTTAGTCAAGGCTGTGTTGGGTAGCTGTGTTCAGATGGCCAAGCTTTTGAGTAACCCAAAAGCAAGATTTCCTGGTTTGCAGAGAATCTCATTCAACCATTCCTCCCCAATGTGGTCCCTCGGATCCCACGGGCAAAGAGACAGAAGGTAGCAGTCTAAAAGCTTTTATACTAAGCACCATGGGGGAGGTCATCACATGACGCTGTGGTATGTTTTTCTGTGGGATTGTTTTGAACAGGGTTTGCACTAGTGATGGGTCCAGCAACAGTAATGCATCAAGCTCATTGAGCAAAACCCAGCGTCAGTGCATAATGTAACAACCCGAGTAAAGATGAAACAATCTCGGCCTTAAAAAAATATATGTTCTTTATGTAAAAAAAAAAAGAAAATCCTTTTCCTCTCTTTCTACAACACTGATGGCTTAAGGTAGACACTAATATATTTACATTCTGATATTGATGGATGGTGGACAAACCCGCATTACCAGAACAAGAAAGTCGCACACTTATTGAATCCCAGTCGGCCTCGGCAGATGGCCGCTCACACTTAGCCTGGTTCTGCTGGAGGTTTCTTCCTGTTAAAATGGAGTTTTTCCTCTCCACTGTCGCTACAAGCATGCTTAGTGTGAGGGATTGCATCCGAGTCAATGAGTTGATGCAATCAACTGGTTTTCCTGAGATAGGGTTGGACTAACTAAAAAAAAAAAACAATACATAAACCTAAGGACAGCAAGAACAACAGAAACCATCTCTCTAAATAAGCAGAAAACACCAAATTACAAAAAATGCAATCAATGAATAGTTTTAATAACTACCTTAAAATCTCTAAAAAATACCTTTGTATTGAGTGCATCACCCTCATCTGCCTACATACGTACACAGCCTGGTCTGAAAAAACCTGCAGAGCCTCCCACATTCGTATAACATGCGTGGAACCAAAAGGCATCCTGGCGTCCCACGGAAACGAATACCCTCCAAGAAATGCTCACAGCTTCCGCTTTTATACTGCCTGGACAACGCCCACCATACCACCTGTGACAATTAGAAAGTCATTCTAGAGATTCAAGACTTGTTTTGAGCGAACTGACGCATCAAATTGTGTTTATAATGGCTTATGGCACAACGCAGCCAATCAAAAACATATTGAGTAACATCAGCAACACATTAGATAAAGTGACCGAAAATAACAATTCCACTGGCATTCTTGTTTTACATTGTTTGTTGTCTATGATTGTATAGTTGCACTATTGTTATCTGCACTACATCATTATAATTCAAGTAAATATACCACAATACTTCAATTTGGATCATCACCACACACACAAACACACACACAATGTGAAGTAACTAGGCGACAGTTAATGTTTAAAACAATTGAGATCACAAAAAAATTGTTCTCTCCATTCTTGCAAAATGACGCTCATCTTTACATAGCTGTTTATGCATCTGTGTTATTCATTACAGCTTGTTCACCTTAGAAATAATCCTAGCTGACTTCTTTGACCTATTGTGCTGAACTGTTTGTTATTTAGCTAAACTTAAGACTCTTTAAGAATTTCCCCCCAAAAAAGTTTAAAAACAAACCACTGAACTTTGTTTTTCAAGTTTGAAGACATTTCACTTCCCATTTAGAAAGCTTTCTCAATTAAAATCTATGGAGTAGCTTTGAGTTACAGGCTTTATACAGTGGGGCAAAAAAGTATTTAGTCAGCCACCAATAGTGCA